CGTGTGCGTGTGTCGATTGCCACAAAGATAATGGCAAAGTCATGTCCCAGGTCATAGGCCATCAAAAAGTTTCAAGAAAAGGCATGAAAATGCTTTCAAACTCAAAAATTAAGAAAATTCAATATTTTCCTACCTCAAGGATATTCAGGAATTTTTCTTGCGATTGAATGCAGGGAAAATGAATCTCTTTGAATGCCATTGAAAGGCCAACCCGCCAACGGTTGGATAATCAAGAGCCGCCTAAGCAGATCATCCTGCGCCTGGAATGGCTGTGAGGCAGGGCGGGGGAGGGGGTGGCAAGGCAAAAAATCAATGTGCCCCAGGGCTGGGACAGGCGCCGTGGCGTGCATTATGTGGCCACATGCAGGAGGGAGGGAGAGAGCCAGAGGCAGAGAGGGAGTGTATATCCCTGGAAGGGGCGGGATGGGGGGGTGGCCGTGTGTGTACAAATAAACAAGGCAGTGACCAGCAGGGGAGACGGCCACCTGACCACAGCAGTGCCACCCGGTGGCAGGCAGGCAGCAGGCAGGCTGCAGTCGGTTTACGTTTAATGCCCATATATTGTTGCCTACTTTCGGGCGCAGTGCCACCCCCCCCCGCAGGACTCCATCCGTTTGCCACTTTTTAAAGCTCTTTAAAAGTGAGCAAACTTTTGCCGCACGTGTGTGGCACGGCCACTGCCACTGCCACTGCCACTGGACGTTAGTTAAACGTATGCCCCTCTAGGCCCCACCCCCCTCTCCCCCTCTCTCTCTCCCCCTCTCTCTCTATATGGTTTGTGTATTGAAAATTGGATTTTCAATTGGTTTGCAAAACGGAAATTAATTCGGGGGCGCAACGAAGCCGAGGCACCGGGCAACCGGGAGGCGTAAATGAAGCCATGACGTCGTTGGCTCTACCCCTCCCTCTCTCGCTCTCCCTCTCTCTCGTCCTGGACGTCATCGTCCTCGTGTTGATGATGATGGCGGTGGAATGACCAGTGGCATTCGCTGCTTCTTCCGGCTCCTCTTTCGCGCCGTGCACTTTAATTAAATTAAGTGAATTTCGGCTCTGATAAGCGGACAAATGAATGCCGCGCGCGATTGGAGGTGCCAAAGAAAGACCAGAGAGTGGAGAGCGGAGAGTGGAGAGTGGAGAGCGGAGAGCGAAGAGGTTAAATGAGCAAATGAAACGCAAACATGGCAGTCGATACAACGCCTCTGCTTCTGCCCCCCCCTTAAAAGTTAATCCACTTAGCCCCCAAAAATTCTATGCCACATTTTTCAATTAATTCGCAAAAAGTTCCTCTAGGGTTTAAAGCCCAAACGAGGCCCCCACCCCCCCCCCTGGGAGGCCCGTGGGATTCAGTTGCAAATCCCAAAAGTATGCGGAGGCTCCATTGAATGCAACGGCCGCTCGAGCGGATGCATGATTGAAAAAAAAACATGGCGTGCCAGGGAGGCTCGTCCTTTGTTTCCCAGGGAGATAAAGGGGGGGGTGGGGGTGGGTTGGGGGTGCCTGCCATATGCATTGGCTAGTTGAAGGCGAGTTCAGTGACTGTTGCACGGCCATGCCCGCCCCCCTGCCATTGTCTGTGCCTCCCCCCCGCCTCCCCCTTGGGCTATTGTTTTGTCATGGGGCTATCTACGTCTCTATCTCTATCTCTCTCTCCATACGTCTCTCTCTCTCTCTCCCTCACTCTCTCTCTCTCGGTTCTAACAAATATTGACCATTTGCCTTTAGCCAATTTGTTTGCATTTTACAAAAATATTCTCCCATCGGCTGGAAATCGGAAAAATTGCCCTGAATGGTGGAATTTTTTGTTCCCCCCATTTTTAATACAATAAATATGTGCCTTAAAGCCGCTCTTTGCCCTCCCTCTCTCCCTCTCTCTCTGTCTCTTTGGGTATCATTTGCTGGCTGCAATTGCTTTTTGATTATCTCGATTTGTTGTTTGCCTTATTGGTGGTGGTGTGTATCTGTGTGGCAAATAGTTTTCAACTCTCTTCCCGCATGTGTGGGTCCCTCTCGGTTTGTCCCTCTGTGTGTGTCCCTGTGTGTCCCTGTGTGAGTTCTAAAGTGCCAAAGCTTGTACTGCCGTTAGTTTGTATTACCATCCTCCTTTTTTTTGGGGCATTGGACCGGGCAACAACAGTTTCTGCTTATGTTTTATGTAAAGCCTTAAATGGAGTTGCCTCCGTTGCATTCCGGCCAAGGGGGGGACACATGGCATGTGATGGCCAAGTGGCTTATCATGAATTGTACCGATCGGCAGCACCTTGGGCCTACAAATCGTCCTGGAACTGCCTTAAAGTTTCCACCATTTCAAGCAACTCTTTGTCTATCCCTCCCCCCCCCCCCCCCCTTGCTGCAGCAGGACTCCTTTTTAATGCATACCAAAGTCGAACCACTAAACAGTTTTAAATTTGCATAAAAATCCGTTTTATTAACATTCAAAGACGATTCGTATCGCGGCTAAATTGAAGAAAAGTAGCTATCGCCCCCGTCCCACCCCCTCCAGGGGGGGGGGGGGGCCTGAGCAAACTTCGAGTCAAGATTGAGTCAAGAGAGGGGCTAGGGGGGCTGGGAAAAAGCCATGTAAATGCTCTTAGGATCCAAAAGGAAAAAAGCGTAAGAAAAATTCCTTTTGCACTCAACAAAGAAGAAATAAATAACTTTCGAGTCAGATTAGCCAACTTGTCACGAAATGCAAAATGACATTTAATACCCTAGGACCTGGGGCCGGCGCAAGGACATCGTCCTGAGTGCTCCAGAGTCCTGGCGCCGAAGGATCCAAGACGCATGTCTTGGCCAAATGGCAATGCGATACGCGACGATATACATGACTGGACCTGACTTGCACTTGGCAGGAGAAAACATGAGAAATTCCTTAGCCCAAGACAGCCCCTCCACCCCCCCTCAGCACTCGTGGAGCCAAGGCGACATTGTTTCGAGACGGCGAAGAAAAATGGCTCTGAAATGCCATCACTATAAAGCCCCAACCCCCCCAAAAAAAGGGGAAAAGTAATCATTGCAATTTAAAGCGGATAATCTGCAGCGGAGGAGGCCATGGCTACGGCTACGGCTACGGCAGGATGCCAGTTTCAGAGTCCTGCAATGCAAATATGCTGTCTGTCGCTCTGTCTATCTCGCTGTCTGTCTGTCTGTCTCTCTCTCTGCTGGCTCCTTCTCTCCGCGTGCGTGAGTGGACACCATTTGCAATTTTCACACTCGCTTTTCCGTTTTTTTTTTTCGCACCAGACGGCGGAGGGCGGAGGGCAAACGGAGAAGCAGCCATGCAGATTACAATCGAAATGACATGAAAATGTTTAGTGTGGCGTGTGGCAAGCAAAGAAAAAAAAAGCGACAGAGAGAAAGAGCGAAACGGAAGAAAAGTGTCCACCCGGCAAGGGGGGGGGGGGGGGTCTGGGGTCCACACGGCTTGGCTTCCACAAGATAATGTCTGCCAGAAATGCAGAAAAATAATGTCTTGTTCGATTGTGGGGTCCCTTTAAGAGGGTCCTTTAAGGCCATACCTCGTCCTGCCATATAATGCCATTTATCAAACATTTGAGCCAATCAGCAGGCAATTAGCCCACTTTCGATGGACAACGAGTGTGAAATGCTCTCTAACAAATTGCATTACAATTTGATTGAAGCGAGCCAGAGGCCAGAGGCAGACAGCTGCACAGATACTTGCGCAGATACAGATACAGATACAAGTACTGCCACACAGCTACAAATGGCAGTCAATCTGTGGCTGTTGTTGGCTGTTAAGTAAACTCAATCCAAGCATTAAATGACAACAAATAAACCAAAAAAGTGCCTGCCTCCTCATGTGGCATGCCTGATTGCCAGCCTGTGTGTGTGTGAGTGTGTGTGTGTGTGTCAACAATAAATATTTTGTGAATTCCAATCATTTTCCTTGTGTGCTGCACAAATATTTTGGGCCTATATTAGTACATAAATTTGGATAATTAATTAAGTTAATGGTGGCTCACTTTTTAGTAGTTTATCAAATAAATATTCGTATATTCGTTTGGAACAAAAAAAATAGAAGAAAAAAACCCAATACCGAAATGCAAATTGTTCCGACAACAATTATTTGTAAGTTAGCGTCCGGTTTTTGTCGGGAAAGTCCATAAATCTTGTGCAGCTTTCATTGCGTCATAAATTTGAAATGCCATCAACAGCAGCGGCAGCCCCACCACTGGGTGGGGGGTGGTGGCAGGAGAAGCGAAAAAAAACCGAGTTGCTACTGTTGCCAGCTCTGTTTGCTCAACGCCCCAATTGTTGGGGGTCCCGAGGTCCTACCCAGAGCTGCTACCAGGACCCACGTCCTCGTCCTCGTCCTGGTCCAAGGCAAACAATCAATTTATGCACACACACACACACACTCCTGAATTGTGTGTGTGTGTATTTGTATTTTTTTTGCCGCTCCACATTCGTGGAGTCGCCTCTCGAGTGCAAATATTTGTTAACTTCATTTGCTCTGAATTAAATATAATTTACATGCCTGCCTGCCTGCATGTTGCATGCCCCAGGGCGCATTAGCTCTCACTCTCAGACTTTTGGTCATAATAATTATTGTTGACATTTGGGCTTACCCTACCCCCACCCCCCACCCCCCTCGCAAGTGCAAATGAAGTGCAATTAAAAATGAATTTCCAAAAAAAAAAAACAAAAAAAATGCCAGCTCAAAGGGAAATTGCAAACGCATTTGCATGCAGTTAATTGGTTGCATGCCCCATGAGTCACCTGTCGAAGGGTCACAGTTGAGGGCCCAGAGACTGTCCCTCGTCTCTCCCTCTCCCCTTTAATATATTTCTAATAAAATCAAATAAACCTGCCCCTGATGGTGGCATCGCCACAGGAATTGAGGTTAAGCGCCACAATTTGCGTTAATCATAACATAAATTAGTGCCCCCCCGAAATCAAAGTCTGTCTTTGGCCTCTTTTTTCCCTCTGTTTTTGGCCAACAATTTGCTAACAATTTTTGTGGTTGTGTTTTTCTTTTGCAGGGCCGCTGTAATCGTGAGAAACCGCCGTGCAAATACTTTCATCCACCACAGCATCTGAAGGATCAGCTATTGATAAATGGACGCAATCATTTGGCCCTCAAGAATGCACTGATGCAACAGATGGGCATTGCCCCCGGCCAGCCGGTCATATCCGGCCAAGTGCCAGCCGTGGTGAGTGTCCCCCTCTTCCACCCCGCCCCCCCACACACCCAGAGGGCCCCCCTTTAATGCTGTCCTTGTTGTCGCCACCTTTTTGCAGGCCACAAATCCATACTTGTCCGGGATACCGGCCAATTCGTACAGTCCGTACTACACAACTGGACATCTGGTGCCCACCTTGCTGGGGCCCGATCCGTCGGCCGTGTCCGCCCAGCTGGGGCCGGTGGTGCCGCAGGCGGTGCAGGTGCAACAACAGAAAATACCACGTTCCGACAGGCTAGAGGTGAGTTTTGTTTGCCGCAAGGAGAGTGCTGCCGCCGCCTTTACGTTACGCTTACGTTACGTTACGTTTTACGTTTTAATTACAATTTTACTTACGAAATGCCAATGAATGCCCAAATGTCTTACCATTTCGTTTCGTTTTGTGTTTTGTTTGTTTTTTTTTTGTGTATTTTAATTATAATTAGTATTAATATTTAAAAAAAAAACAACAAAAAATATGTGCTATACAAAAGAACAAATTGCGAGCTAAAACAATGATATTGTACAGAGTTTTGAGTTCTAATTCGCACAACAACAAAATCTGACAACGTTCTATAACCCAGAATTGATTTGACAATTGACACACACGCACACACACACACAGATACGCGTCTAACAAACCAAAAAAAAAAAAAGTACGCCAAATTTTTGAAGCAACCCAATCTTGATGTTTGTTTCTCTAACAATTCGTTTTTCCGATTTTTTTTTGGTTTTTTTTTATTTTTTAAGCTCGTCTCTGTCTCTGTCTCTCTTTTTCTTTTGGATCTAGGGATCTGTTTTGCCCCCACCACCCCCCCAGAATTCTCAATTTGGTATCCATTTTGCTAAATTCTAATTGAGGGCTAGATCTAACAGGCAGATCCCCAGCAGACACTCTCCCTCTCTCCCTCTCTCTTTCTCTCTACAAAAAACAGTCCCCCCCTCTCCCCACCGAGCTCGTTATGGTTTTTTGTTTGACGTTTTGTTTGTGTTTTTGATTTCCCTTAATCCTTGCATTCTCGTTGTTCTCTATCTATCTTTGTGCCACCGAAAATTTTGAAAAATTTGACAAAACTAATCGGCATGAAGCAAAAACTAAACAAAAATCAAACCAAATATTGGCTCTAACCACAACAAAAGCAACAGCAACTAAAAAAAAACACTTGCCTGCAAAATCAACAACAAAAATAAAAATAAAATATATATTTATATAAAACCAAAAAGAAATGAACTTGTTACTGAATATCCTTCCATTATTTCCAAAACAACAACAACAACAAAAAAACACACACACACACCTTCTCCGCCTAAAAACACACCACAACACACCAACACACCAACCACCAACCACCACCAACCACCACCAACAACCAACAACCACCAACAACAACCGAAACCACAACTGCTGCCACTTTTGCTATCCGCTGCCAACGCCCGCAACCAACCAACCAACCAACCAATCTGCAATCAACGGCGAATTTCAACAACCAACAACAATCAACAACAACCAACCAACAACCATCAACAACAACAACAATGATAATGTGTGTGCGTGGCGTGTGCGTGTGTGTGTGTGGCTCGGCCCCCCAAACAACCCCACCCCCGTCGCTCGCCCCCACCACCACCACCACCACGATCACGATCACGATCACGATTCAGGTGTGTCGCGAGTTCCTGCGCGGCGCCTGCAAGCGGGCCGAATCCGAATGCCGGTTCGCACACCCGCAGGAGAGTGTCGCCCGCCACGACGATGGCTCGATAACGGTATGCATGGACGCCGTTAAGGGACGGTGCGCCCGTGAACCCTGCCGCTACTTTCATCCCCCCCTGCACCTACAGGCACAATTAAAAGCGGCCCAAACACGCGCCACCGCTGTCGCTGCTGCAGCTGCGGTATGGCTATATACTATATATTTTCTCAATACTTTAACCCCCACCCTACCCCCCACCCCCCACACACCTTTTTGTGTTACCCCCCCTTTGGCCCTTTTTTGTTTAAGCCGCCTAACGTTTGTTTTGTTTTTTCCATTCCAATGTTTGCTGCCTTTCACTAGCGCTGTTTTCGTTTATCTTTTAACTTCAAACAGAGATATACAACAACAACAACAACAACAACACACACACACACACAACTTTACTCCTGCACTAACACACAATCCACCAAGTATGCCATAGATACATAGATACATAGATACACACCCCCCACCCCCACCCCCCAGAAAACTCTACCCCTCTCTATAGTATGTTGTTTGTTGTTTAAGGACTCGCCTTAGGCCGTCCACTAGTTCGAAAATAGTTGATTGAATTTGCTTTAACTTCCAGTGTCCGACGTCCTTTGACCCCCTATGACCCCCCTTTGTAATTTAAAGCAAATTTAATTACTAGCTCCACGCTGCATGCCCAACAATTTCATTAGCTTTAACACAAACCACACACATATTAAATCTGTCTCCATCGACTAAAAATAGTTATAAATACAAGTAGTAGTAGAAAATAGAGATTATTCTCCACACAATTCTGTTCGATATAATGCGGGGGGGGATATATATTCTTATAGAGAAAACATTCAGGTTTTAGTAGAGGAAATATTTGTAGAAAAATCTCCTAGAAATATGGGCTCTTAAGGGGTTATAATGGTGCTATTATGGGGCTCTCCTCTGCCTGCCAGATACAGATTTATGCCAGATTTATCTTCCATTAAGGGCATTCGCGTACACAAAAAAATTTCCACAATTCTGTTCGATATAATGCTGGGAAATATATGGTCTTTAAGAGAAGATATTCAGCTTCTAAGAGAGGAAATATCAGAGTGTTTTGGAGGCACATCCTAGGCAGAAATTATTTTAGAAAAATCTCCTAGAAATATGCAGATAAATATCATAGGTTATGGGGATATTAAGGGGTTATAATGGTGCTATTATGGGGCTCTCCTCTGCCTGCCAGCTACAGATTTACGCCAGATTTATCTTCCATTAGAGGCATTCGCGTACACAGAAAAATCCACACAATTCTATCTATATCTAGATAGATATAATGCTGTAGAATATATATTCCTATAGAGAATAGATTAAGGTTTTAGCAGAGGAAATATTTGTAAAAAAAATCTCCTAGAAATATGGGCTATTATGGGGTTATAATGGTGCTATTAGGGGCTCTCCTCTGCCTGCCAGCTACAAATTTAGGCTAGATTTATCTTTCATTAGGGGCATTCGCGTACACAAAAAAATCCACACAATTCTGTTCGATATAATGCTGGGGTCTTTTAGAGAAGATATTTAGGTTCTAAGAGAGGAAATATCAGAGTGTTTTGGGGCACATCCTGGGCGGAAATTATTTTAGAAAAATCTCCTAGAAATATTCAGAGAAATATCATAGTTTTTGGGGTTATAATGGTGCTATTATGGGGCTCTCCTCTGGCTGCCACCTACAGATTTATGCCAGATTTATCTTCCATTAGAGGCATTCGCGTACACAAAAAAATCCACACAATTCTGTTCGATATAATGCGGGGGAATATATATTCTTTTAGAGAAGATATTCAGCTTCTAAGAGAGGAAATATCAGAGTGTTTTGGGCGGCACATCCTAGGCAGAAATTTTTTTAGAAAAATCTCCTAGAAATATTCAGACAAATATCATAGATTTTGGGGTTATAATGGTGCTATTATGGGGCTCTCCTTTGCCTGCCAGATACAGATTTATCTTCCATTAGGGGCATTCGCGTACACAAAAAAATCCACACAATTCTGTTCGATATAGTGCGGGCAAATATATATTCTTTTAGAGAAGATATTCAGCTTCTAAGAGAGGAAATATCAGAGTGTTTTGGGGGCACATCCTAGGCAGAAATTATTGTAGAAAATTCTCCTAGAAATATGCAGATAACTATCATAGTTTATTGGGCTATTATAAGGTTATAATGGTGCTATAAGGGGTCTCTCCTCTGCCTGTCAGCTGCAGATTTATGCCAGATTTATCTTCCATTAGGGGCATTCGCGCATCTACACAATTCTGCTCGATATAATGCTGGGGAATATACAGTCTTCTAGAGAAGATATTTAGGTTTTAGCGGAGGAAATATTTGTAGAAAAATCTTTTGGAAATATTCAGACAAATATCATAGTTTATGGGGCATTTAGGGGGCTAAGAGGGGGCTCTCCTCTGCCTGACAGCTACACCACTCTAGTGCCAAGTGCCTTTGGGTATATACGGCTATATGTAGGCTCCTCCAGGGCTCTAAAGGGGGACTGAGGGGAGTCTAAAGACTATAAATATTAAGCCTACATACGTTGCTATTAATCCCTATTTCGGGCTAATGGCCAAATCATCATTCCACAATCGCGTAATACAAGTACGCATTTAGATATTCCTTTTTGTTTGTCTAGTAATAAATAATTAAATGCTGATAAATTATAATTTTTGGGCAACAAAATATAAAAGGTGGCAAGCGGTATATAATCCCCAATGTGGAGTGGCAGGGGGGTGGGGGAGCGGGAGGGGAGCGGAAAAATATGTTGAGGCTCGCATAAAACACGCCATAAATGTTGATTTTCGTTCGGGCCAAAATTAACATTTATTATAACGCGTTAAAACTTTGAGCACGCAGCCAGCCGGCAAGAGAGAGAGTGAAAGAGAGAGAGAGAGCGTGAAAGAGAGACACAAGCACACGTACGTGATTGCCACGTGTGTGCCGGAGCCAGGTCCTGGCTGGTATCCGTATCAGTGTACGTGTACGTGTCCCTGTCCGTGTCCTGGCTGCCAATGCCGTTGTACTTAATTCGCGACTTAATTGCTTTCTGCTGGAAATTTATTTGACGCAACAACGTTGTTGCACGGCAGCAGGGGAGACAGGGGTGGCAGCGGGGAGCCAGGTAGATGGCACACATAATTGCAGCATAATATCGCATAAAGTGAAAAATTGTTGCAGCATTTTAGGCGTAATTCAATCGAGGCTTTTCCGGAAGGAAGCCCATCCTCCCCCCTCCCCTCCCCCCTACGTGTATATTGTATGAAAATTGTCCTTTGACACACACACACACACACACACACACACGAGCATAATTGTATTTATGGGTCGTCGTCGTTTAATGCGATTATGGCCCTGAAAAATGAAAGAAATTAAACGCTTACCTCCCTACCACCTCCCTCCCACCTCTCTCCACGTTTGTATTTTATTTTGTAAAATGGTTTACACCCCCCAGCCTCCCCCCTTCATGCTTTACCGTAGCTTGTTGATAACCCCACTCTAGTACTCTAGCTTTTCCCATCATGAAAACCCCACAAAACGTGTATCTTAAGTGATTAGAGATTAGAGATGGTAATGGTTATAGTTTGGGGCAGGTTTAGACGGGTCTTAGAGCCTTAACGATCGATGCAGCGTTGCTGTTTCATTGTACACTCTTGAATAGTTTGTAATTTCTCATTTGGGGTATTCCCTTGCATGACAAAAGTCGATATTTATTGTACCCAAAAACTATTCAATGTTGTTATCCACTCATCCAGCCTATATAACCATGTAAATATCTATAGATATCCCAACAACAACAACAACAGAAAACAGACCCCGACACACACGAAACTGTATTCCGTATTTATGATTTACAACCCCCCCCTCACCCCTCACCCCTCACCCACCACCCCTCCAAAAGTTTTCTTTGTTTTGCCCCATATGTCAATCGACGGTCCCACCTGCCGAGCAAAAAACTGCGGAAACAGCCGCCTGCTGTTCTTCTGTTTTGCCCCAAAAATGTAAATGTCAACCTGTACTGTGGCCCCCATTCACACAGGACAGAGGACACGGGACAGAGGACACAGGACACAGGACATGGACACGAACGACATGGATTAGTCTGGCAGGATAACGTTTGAACCGGAAAATTAACTAAAAGCTGAGATTTCCATGCCAATGAATTGTCCAGCACAGAGAAAGAGGTCTGATGCCGAGCCAGAGGCGGCCTGTCGGCCTGTCGGCTGTTGTTTTTTCTTTATAGACTCGACCCCAATATCCACACACACACACACACAGATATACACAGATACACCCGTGGCCCACCGAAGTTGTCGCGCCCAAGCGAATTAATCCATTTGTAGCATTCATTGCCAGAGACAGGACAAGCAGCAGCAGCAGCGGACCAAAAACAGAAAAAAAAGAAGCCTCATGTCTCTCTCTCTCACTCTCTCTATCCCTTTCTGCCTCTCTCTACGTGCGAGTTCATTTAAATGCAAATTTTGTGCAGTGCCCCCAAATGTATGCTAAGGTTTTTTGCCCTTTCGTTTTTATTTCTGTTTCGTTTTGGGTTTTAGTTATTAGACACACACACACACATAGGTACCCAATTGCGGTGTTAAACGCATTAGCTTGGGCTCTACACCAAAAATATATGGCCCTGGCTTACAGGGTGGAGGAAAATCAGGTCAAATCTTATTCCAGCAACGCTGCATCGGTAGCGCCCCCCCCCCCCCACCACCACCACCACCCCCCTTCACTACGAGTGTGTGTCAAAAGTCAAATCGATTGTTGGTTTTTATTGCAAACAACTAAGTTAGTTCTAAGCTAAGATCTAGAGTTTAAGACAGAAAGAATGCTCTCTATCTCTATCTCTCGCCCTCTCTCACTCTCACTCACTCTCTATCTATCTATCTAATGCGTTCTTTGGCCAGCTTTGCAAGGCTTAATTATATTTGAAATATATTTCTAACAACACTGGCTTTGAGTTACGCTTTCCACGAGATTAATTTCCATGACATTTGCAGGCCAAAAATATTTAGTTTTATTTAAGGTCCAACGATATTCAAGCGGAAATCAGTTCAATTTTGTTGTTGATTTCTGCTTGATTTATCAATAAATAATATGGCCATATTATTGTACGAATATACATATATCTAAACAATTTGATTTGTTTCTATTATTTTACTTATCCGAATATCAAAACACTTTTCCGTACTCTTCTACTATTATGTATTTTTCATCTGTTTGCACAAAACAAAAACGCACACACACCCACGACCACGCACACACACACACACACACACACATACTGTAAACGCTTCAACGATGGATGGCACACAAAAACAAAAAACTGAAAAAATTCGAAAATTGGACACAAAATTAAATAATTGATGGGAAATGGAAAAATATGAAAAAAAAAAAAAAAATTAAATTGTGACGACACTCGATATTATGGAACCATTTATAATTCATAATGGAATTTGGAAAACTCTCTCTTAATGCACAAAAAATCACACACACACACACACACACACAGACCTCACCTGTTACGGCACACCACCACCCACACCACCATCACCACCAGCAACAACTACAACAACAGCAACAACAACAACAACAACAGCAACAACAGTTGCAACAACAGCTGAACAACATCAACAACAACAACAACAACATCCACTGCAGTGGCGCAACCACATCAACAACAACAACAACCACAAACAACGCTGCCGCCGCCGCTGCCGCTGCCGCCGCCGCTGCCGCCGCCGCCGCCGCCGTCATGGGCCATCACCATACAGCAGCACTGGAAGTGGGCAAGAAGCGGGCAGCGGACACAGATCTGTTTCCACTGGTATTTTTTTGTTTGTTTTTTCTTATCCTTTTTTTTCACTTTGTGTTTTCTGTTTTCCGTTTTTCTGTCTTTTGTTTCGTTTGATTTCCGTTTTTTTTACATTTTGTGGTTGATTTTTGCCTTTCATTTGATATTCTCTGATTTTAATGCTTCCTTTTTTTTTGTTTTGTTGATTGTTGAAAATAGTTTTCCATTTACGTTGCATGCTTTTAGGCGGGTGAAGAATATATTTCACTTAAGCTAACGATCTGTTAGCCGCCCCCCCCACCTGCCCGCCCCCCAACAATACGGGTTTGGTTTTTTTGTTGTTGAACCTTCCGTTTGACATCCGTTGGAATGCTTTCGAACCACCGAAACCCCACTACACCTTCAGTCATTCATTTAGTCATTTATTCAGTCACTTAACTGCACATCAAAGTGCCCTCAATTAACATTGATTATCAGCATACCCCGCCCCCAACCCGCCACACACTCACACTAATCAGCATACATACACACAGGCATTCCACAGCGTGGGGCATGAGGGGCATGAGGGGCATGATATCAATCACAAGCACAAGCACTCGATTCATTCCATTCACGTGGCACAAAAGTGTTAATTAAAATGATTTAACCGATAAATGCGCCAAGGCTGGGGCGTGTCTTCTTTCTTTTGGGCCTTTCCATCTGCCTCTTGCCACTTGCCAGCTGCAACTGCCACAGCTATCGCTTTCAGTCGCTCAGTCGCTCAGTCGCTGCCGTTGGCTGTTGCTTAATTGTTTAAGTGCTTTTGCTGGTTAATTAGTTGCAACATGCATATATCCTTGATTATCCTTTCGCCATCATCGCCTCTACACACACACACACACACCCAGCCATCCACCACACCCACGCACACTATTTAGGACTAAGTATATATATATACCTATGAATATAATTGATTGAACTGTGCGAAGGATATATCCACTAATTTCATTTGTGTTCTTCTCTCTCTCTCTCTCTCTCTCTCTCCCTCCGTTCCTCTTCATTTTTGATCTTCCACACAACAACACACTCTTCCGTTCGATTATTCTCTCTCTCTCTCTCTCTTCCACTCTCTCTCTCGCTCAATCAATCTGCAATCAATGTGTGTGTGCGCCTAACCCTCTGATCATCAATCAACCAATCAACAAATTCCGTTATAACCCCAACAACTACAACTACAACTACAACAACAACAACAAATCAAAAAAATTATATCATTCACTAACTGAATAATCAACCAAAACCAAAAACCAAAAACCAATCCGATAAATGCCACAAAAAGATGGATGTTAAAACGGTTGGTTCATTTTACTATGAAAACTTCGTAAGTACTCCAACAAACAACAACAACAACAACAACAACAAAAAATTACAACAACCAAAGAAAAAACACCATAAAATATGTATATCCTGCATAAAATACGCAACTTTTGAATGCAAAAAAGAGCCTGACAAAAAATTGGAGAAAAAAAGCTGAACGGAGAAAGGCTTTTCCTTCACAGCTTTTTGCGCCCTTTCGCTACCTTTCGCATGGAAATTTTGCTTCGAATTCGCTTTCATTCATTATTTTTTCGTTTTGTTTTTTTTATATATATATATATATAGCGTTTATTTCTTATGTCTCTCCCTCTCTCGTTTACGATCGAAAATTGGCCATAGAAAAGAGAAGAATTGTAGTAGAAAGCAAGAAAACTCAAAATCAAGCTCGTTTTTAAGCAATTTGTTGTTAAAGTATCAATACACATATATAAACGAATGTAGAAAAAACTAAAAGAAGGTCCAAAGAGAAAACTAATGGCTCTCTGTATTGCTCTCTCTCTCTCTCGCTCTCTCACTTTAGCAATTCTCTGGAATGGTGCCGTTCAAACGTCCAGCTGGAGAGAAGTCTGGCATTCCAGTGTATCAACCCGGTGCGACTACGTATCAGCAGCTAATGCAGCCCTATGTTCCAGTCTCATGTGAGTATCCCCAACAACAACAACAACAACAACTACAACAACAACATCAACAACAACCACAACAACAACAACAACAACAAGTACTACTACAACAACAACAACAACAACAATTAGCGTTAAGTAGCGCCATAACAACAACAACTACAACAGCAACAACAACAGCCAGTAATAATATTAATAATAACAACAACAACAACAGCAGTAATAACAATAACGCCATTCACGTAAATGCTGTAATTGCTACTGCCATCAATCCATCAATCACAACCGCATCAAACGATCAATCAGCTGCTGCAGCAGAACCCACTAATAAACCCAGTGACGATAGTCACGATAACGATACCGATAACGATAAAGCTGACGATGGTGCTGCTGACGAAAAAGAGAATGATATTCCAAAAGACACTGACGAGCACAATGAAACATCGAAGCCAAACCCAAGCCCCCCCATCGATTGTAATACAACACAGACAATTGCAACAGCAGCAGCAGCAGCAGCTGCAGCTGCCACAGACTCAGACCCAGACGCACAGGAGACACAGGCAGCAGCAGCAGCAGCAGCAGTGGCCACCTCATCCAGTGGCAGCTCACCCGCCCCCTGTCCAAGCCCACCCACTGACAGCAGCCTGCTGCCCCTGCCGGTGCCCCAGCCGCCCAATGGGGACAATAACAATTACCTGTCCTATATCAATAACAATTTGACCAACGGCCAACGGATCAAGTCCGCCAGTCCGCCCGAAGAGTCGCTCAACGACGAGGCAGACCAGGCCCCAGCAGCAGGTGGGGCCTCCCTGACCTCGACCCCTCGTGGCTATAGCAAATACAATGGCGATGCCTACCAGAGGGCCAGCAATGCCGCGTACTCCATGAATGGCCACAGCACTGGGATACTGCCCACGCCCACCAGCACCGCGCCCACAGTGACGTATCAGTCCCAGGCACAGGCCCAGGCACAGGCTCAGGCCCAGGCCCAGGCCCAGGCACAGGCCAGTATGCAGCGCATCAACTATGCCATGCCCGCCTACAGCTATGCCAATTTGTACTCGCCCTACAACAGCGGCACCTCCTCCATCGTGAGCATCGCCGGCAACACGCCCTCCTATGTCCAGGCCCAGATGCAGCAGCAGCAGCAGCAACACCAGCAGCACCAGCAGCAGCAGCAGGCCCAAGCGCAGGCCCAGGCCCAGGCCCAGGCTCAGGCACAAGCGGCCTATGCTCAGCAGGCTTATGCCGCATATGCGGCCGCTGCAGGACTCACGCACACACAGCCCACGGCAGCCGCTGGCGGCTACTATGCCGATCCCGCTGCCCTGGCCAAGGAGGTGGCCCAAAAGAACTACGCCCTCAAGGTGGCCAGTGCCGCATCGGCGGCGGCGGCGGGCAAGTCGGGATCCCACTCGGCGGCCGCCTACACAGGCATGACCCTCAACAAGGGATTCGTGGCCGCTGCAGCTGCCCCGCAGCCCGTTCAGGCGCCACAGCCGCAGGCCGTCTCCATGGCCACCCTGCTGCAGATGCAGGCTCAGGCCCAGGCCCAGGCCCATGCCCAGGCCCAGATGCGGCAGATGGGATCCTTGCCCAATTCGGGCATGTCCACGCCCATGGCGCCTGGCACGCCCCTCCGCTCGGCCAGCGCTGGCGGTGGCCAGGCGCCGCAGTACTTGTCGGGGCCTGCGGCCGCCTCTGGCGCCCTGCTGCGTGCCCCCTCGCCCATGCAGTATGCCGGAGCCCAGGGCTACTTCTATCCGGGCGTAATGTCCGCTCCGGCCGCAGCCGCCGCCGGATATGCCGCGGCCTATGCCATGCCCTCGAGTCAGGCGGCAGCGGCGCAGCAGTATGCTGCAGCAGCAGCAGCAGCTGCCGCCGCTGCGGCCGCCCAGGGGGGAGCCCCAGGTCTGAATCCCTACAAGAAGATGAAGACGTCCTAAAAAGGGACCCCCACGCCTCCCCCCCCCCACACACAAGACACAACTGTACTTAAAAGCTCTCCCGTCACACATCGAAGACGTGAGAAATATGTGCCTCAGAAGTAGAACGATTAGACTTTAGTTTTTAGACCCCCCCACGCCCCCAACCCCCCATCGTAACCCTCGATCGCGCACAAGAAGGCTTTGAAAAAGCTCTCCCACCCCTCCCCACTAACACAAGCGCGCATGCTGCCCTGCCCCCCCCCCCGGCCCCCGCCCCCCTCGTACTAACACAAATGCCGCGCAGCTTGCAACGAACGAAAACTCTTTTGCCATTAAGTTATTAACGAAAGGAAACACAAACCTCACTGTGGACTTGTAAGACAACGAAGAAGAGAAGCTTTCGAAAAGCTTTCAGAGAGCAGAGACACACGACAGGAAGAAGACGAAGACGAAGATGATGATAGATTTACTTAAGTTCCTTCTCTGGTTAGAAATTAGTCAAACGCTAAACAGAAACAAAAGAAGATAAGAATAGGGAGATCGGCGAAAGGCAATGTGATAGCACACCCCCCCTCCCCCCCGCCAGCACACCAAACAAAGGCGAAAAAATCAATCCCAGCTGCTGCTGCTGTTGTTGCTCACTCACGCCAGAATGAGCGCTGGCTCTCGCTCTCTCGATGAGCTGGCTCTCCGAAAGCTCTATACAGATCCGCCTGCTGCTGCTGCTGCTGTTGCTGTTGCAGTCGCACTCGCATAAATGCAGTAACCGTTCCTCTATTGCTCTTCACCCCGTCATCTCTTGAGCGCGCTCTCGCTATCGCTGTCTCTCCTTAAATGTTTACATAGATAGCGGCCATAAATATCGTGAATGCTGTTGTAATTGTTTTAATTAAATTGTTGAGCAACGAGAGAATTGTGCATAACGTAACGGAATATTGTCTAGTTATATAGAAATACTACTACTTATACGATATACATACATCATAGCTGTACGTGCTGTATGCTGCTACTATCTACTATATTTATACACACCCCCACAGCCCACAGCCCACACCCCACACCCCACACACTCTGTACTCTTCTAACACACACACACACACACACACGCTCATCCGCTCATACACCCATACACCCATACAGACTCTGTAAGAGAAGAAAGAACGATCTGTAATCGTATATTTAAAGCCTCACTAAACCACAGATATCACTCTCTAACACACACACACACACACCACGCACACTCTTAAGCCACCCTTCAAAATTAATTAATTCATTAATCAACATTATGTTTTTCAAAAATTTAAACCCAAAAAAGAAGTATGTAAAACTTTTCTTTTTCATTTTCGTTCACACACACCCACACACACCTTATCGCTATCTTTCAATGTATTTGTAAATGTTTGTTCTTTCTGTAATCAAATGTTAAAAAGAATAAAATCATTGGCAAACAGAATTAAGTTTTTTTAAGTTAGATCTCTCGTGTGATTATCAGTTTATCAGTTTCTCTCCCTCGCTCTCTTTCTATCTTCTTTACATATGTAATTTTTATGTTTTATTTATATATATTTTATGTAAAAGAAACCAGTTTTTAATGTAGTTATTACATAAATAATTTATTAAGAAAAACAAAAAACAAAAAATAGAAATAAAATTTTTTGCCACTGACTTGCGCGCACTCACCTAAGTCTTAGACACACACGCCCCACCAGCACCCCACAGCCCACAAAAAAAAAAGAAACATCCTTACATTATGTTATGATAAATACTATAATCTCTGTCTCTCTCTCTCTCTCTCTCTGTAAAATTGTTCTTAATTGAAGTAATTCTAAACAGATTTTTAATGTGTTTTTGCCACTAATTCTTATCCTAATTCTAATTCTAATTTATAGTTTCGATAGTTTTTATTAATGTTTTATTTGAAATATATATCGTGTTTTTATCTATCAAACAACAACAACAACAAATATATATCCTATTCTGTGTGTTGGTATTCGACTTTATTCGATTTGATTTAGTTTTTCCGTTGTGCCGCTTTTCTCATTCATTCCAACCCTTTAAGTACTACGATATATCCGGAATAAAACCAAGAAAAACCACCCCCCACACAAACACACAGACACATACACTTGCGCTTAACGGCAGAGCAGCACTCGTATACACGCCCCACGCCCCCTAGAGCTTTCCCCCCCCCCCTCCTGAACCCTTTTCATCATCTTCTTACATCTGTATATGTTTTAGCTCTTAGTATAATGGCAATGGCAAGCAAAATGAGTACGCTAACGGTAGAGAGATCTATATATCTATATAATAGTTGTAAACCTCTGAGCAATATATATCGTACCATATTTATCTGTATCTGAATGTATGCCTATGTGGGCCAGCTAATTGCTTGGCTTATTCAAACTATACTCGATAAGAACGATGCTTAAACATGCAGCGAGACTGTACTCCCAATATCTATGTCTTATATCCTCTATATGTATGTCTTGCCTAACATTTACTATATATACTATATATATACATATGTATGTGTGTTGTACCCAACAGAAAACTAACAGCAAGAACACAATCTCCACTGCATGGCGCAAAGATAATACAAATAACAAATGACATGCATTCCAGAATCTAAGACATATTTTACTCCGCTTAAGCACCCAAAAATAGAGCCTCTCCCCCCCCACACACACACAAGAACTGCTTCAATTACAAAATACAATATAGAAGTGCCGTTAAAACGAGAAGAATACAAATACAAAGACTAGGGATAAGCGAGGACTTTTTGCTGAATTACAGAAACCACATTTAGAGGCTTCTTCTTTTTTTAGATCTTGTTTTCTCTCGATAGACAAAAGTACAGTACCGTCCAAAACGTAGCAAAACGTAGTTTATTGGCGCACTCTCTCTCTCTCCATTTATTTTTATTTATTTGTAGCACACATACACTGAGAGAAACACTATACGATTTAGAGTAATTTCTGCTTTCATCATCGACCACAAATGTGAGAAAAAAAAGAGGAAAAAAAATATATATATATGGCAGATATAAAAATGCATGTTGCATAAGAAGAAGAAGAAGAACAAAACGATGTTTATCGAACAAATTGAATTCATGACATATTTAACCAGACATGCATACATATATAATGTATACACACGCCTATAAACAAGCAATAAACACACACACAGACACACAACCACACACAAACACACACACACACACACACACCTATGAATATATGTTATATGTATGTGCTAACATTAGTCGTACGATTATAAAAGGAAAACAAACAAAACAAAAAAAAAACAAATTATATTGAAATTATATTATATACGTTTTATTGTAAAAACCGTAAAAAACAACTTGTTGGCTTCTTTTACTTGAACATCGAACCTTGAACCTCGAACCTTGAACCTTGGAAAGTGATCGAAAAAAAAAAACAACCGAAACTAACATTCTCCGTTTCTCTCTCTCTCTCTCTGTCTCACCCACTACTAATCCATTAAAAAAAACAACTGTTTTGCCGTGTGTTGTCTCTCTCTCTCTCTAACTGTTTAACATATAGTTTATTATTTATTCCTAAGTTGGTATTACTCATTTTGCTCACGTGCGAGGCCGCCAAAAATACTTGTACTTTTCTTACGCTTCTTTTACATTTAACAATCCTCCGCTCTCAATGTGTGCTCTCTGCTCTGCTCGACCATATATCCACACACACACACCACTTTAGCCACCTCTTTTATCCTTTTGGTAGAAACACACTTTTTGCCAGAGAAATATTACTGTATGGCTTAATAAACCCGAAGATACTCTCTAGAGTTAAGCGCTTTTTGTAATGTTTTCAAAGAAAATGCTTCGAATAATTTATGTATCATTTCCGCGTGCCTATTAAATACTCTGATTTTGGTTTGAAGGCCCCGAAAATACTCAGGAAAATAAATCTTATGGAATAGTTGGAGTTTGGCATTTTTACGAACAAAGTTCAGAACATTTTCCATGTTCAAAGAGGAGGGAATAAGCCTTAGCCTCTAGCCTATTCGGTTCTGCCTTTAACACTTTAAGAACCACCAGTTCTTCCTCTCTCTTTTCACTGGATTTCCCACAATAACAGAAGTGGAATGTCCCATAATCAGGGAAAGAGTTTCTCCGCCCAGATTTGGGCCCCTTTTCAGGACCTCCAAAGGTCTCAAAATATACCCAATGATCCAAGTTTCCCTCGAAGCCTTTTCTTTGGCCTCATTGCAAAAATCAAGTACAGTAGTAGCTCTGTCTCTCTCTCTCTCTCTGCTGTCGATCGCTGGATGATGTTTTTGCGGCGAGAAGTATTTTGGTTTGATTTTTTAATGAGTTTCGATTCGATTTTCTTGATTCGTTTGTTGTGTAATTTTTCAGCATGTGCTCAATGAAAAAACCAGAACTTTTTTGTAGCAAGTATTCTACCGATTTGAACATGAGTATGATGTGTATTGAAACCAGTGGCTGTATCTTTCCATCCTCTATATATACGCATCTTTCTCTCTGTATCGCTCGCTCTCGCTCTCGTACTCGCTCTCTGCCTCGCTCTCACCCACGCGAGGGAGAACGATATATCTACATAAGTATATATGTAATACATACATTCCGTTTTGCTCACACACATAAGTATATAACTCTCGAGTATGGCTTCTGCTCAAGTGGCATGTGGTATGGTAAGCGCACTCCTAAGGTAAGCTGGTGCACCTGCCCCCGCCCCCCGCCCCCCTACACCCTGATTCCCGCTATATATAGTATATATACATATATAGAGTGCAATCATATATACATAAATAGATGCTAAGTATGTCTAATAACATTTTGTTTTTCGTAGATTCTCGTTTGTCGTTTAACAGCTTCGATCGGAGATTGATGTACGATTTTCCTAGCCCAAAAACACACACAAACAAACACACACACACACATACACACACATAAGAAATATGTTATTAACATGTGTCCTATTTTTTTTTGTGTTGTTTTGTATTTTTTAACTGACTTTTTCTTT